CTCTCGAATATACTCACACACTTAAAGAAAGTGACCATTTAAACTCGTGCACATAGCACAGAATAGAACCGCACGCTGTGGACATAGTGCACCGACATGTCGCTCGTGGACTGGCTGCGTAGTTCCAATGTGTACCACCCGTGGACATGCGCTAGTTTACCGGGCAGAAAAGTGATTACACATTCTCTTATGGACCTGGCCGCTCTCAAGCTTCTCTCTGCTACAGCCTTACTATCTTCATTGTAGACTAGCCATTATGCGTTATGCAAAAGTCTGTGCTTCGGCCTTTAAGATCCACAATTTTCATAACCTGTGCGTCTATTTGTATGTTACATCTGGCGAGAATTATTTCTTAAACTGAACACTTAACGAAGTGTCAGAATGAAATATTCCTTATTTACAGTTCTATTTTCGTTCATCACTGCGGTAAGTAAAAAAAGACGAGTTTTTTGTTATTAAACTTTTGCTCATGAGTCTTGTTCCAAATGTAGTTAACTTCTCATATTTACTTATAACATTCACAACAGAATTACAATAACCACTTTGAGAACACATGTTGCAGACGAACAACGTCATCGCAGAATTTTCAGCAGACGATTGCAAAGCATTAGGTTTTAACAAAGCCAACTTGCTTTGTTCAACATGTGAACACTTCACCGGGTCAAATCTGGAAAGAATTTAGTATGTGTGTTGAATATTTGTATCTTGTGAAATATCTTTATTAGCAATATCCATACACAAAAACATTCAAATATATCACATAAATCTTTCTTAGTGCTAAGTGCAAAGAATGTTGTCTGAAAGATTATGACCTGTCTGGATCTAAACGATATCCTAAGGCTGTCCTCGAAGTATGTACATGTAAATTTGGACAATACCCACAAATACAAGGTAAGTGTATAATTTGAGTTTTTTCATTTAAGAATTGGATAATGCAATGTTGCAATACATATATGTGTGTGTGTACTTTTATATACTATATATGTATATACTTTTAAGTGTACATATATCTAACATTGTTTGCAGCCTTCATCAAGAGTGACCGACCAAAGAAATATAAAAACCTCAGTATCAAATATGTGAGAGGTTTAGATCCAATTATTAAACTGTATGATGCTGAGAATAGAGTTGAAGATGTACTCGATATACACAAATGGGACACAGACTCTGTAGATGAGTTTTTATCAACTCATCTTTCTAAGGATTAGTAAAATTAAAAACTTTTATATTTTGCGTTAATGTATAATTATTTCTATTAAATATATATATATATATTCAATATTCAATATATATATTCAATATAATATTTGATACATGTACCTATATGTGAGTGATTATTTCTTATTATCGAAGACCGCCCCAGTGGTGTCGCGGCCTGAGTGTAGGGGCTGCGAACCCGGAGCTCGAATCCGGCTCACCACCTCTAAGGATTTTTCCCGGGCCGGTCCCTTTCAACCGAGTTTATCGGTTGATCGGCGAACGTTAATTGGGCCTCTAAAAATTAATTCGAGTATAATCCCGAATTTAATTCCTCCTCCCACAAGGCGATCATAGTCAATTCGAGCACGAGTCCGACACAGATGGGCACACGCCCACTGTGAAAAAACGGCCGTGTATCGCGTTGTAGTAGTAAAAAAAAAAAACTGCACATCCCCCATTCGTCCTGAGAATAAAAAGAATGTTTTATTCATTGTTTATTCACAATATCAATTTCCAGTGTTCACTGTTAAATTTCCATAAAAACAATGGATTAATAATAGAAGTCAATGATCTTATGTTTATAAATTTGATGATGTATATGAAAACCTCAAATGTGATTACTTTCAATATATGTGATCTTTCGTTTAGTTTATTAATCTACGAGATCAAATACTAATATATTAATATTTAAAAAAAATTTATATCGATACAAAGTCCGTGACAAAAAGTTGTGTAATTTTTCTGCCGTTGTTACAATTACTGTAGGAGCCTTAGATAATATAGTAAGAATTCATATTTTTTCTGAAACAACAAAATAATAGTCATTAAATTCGTATTGCTTATGCAAATGTCACTTGTATATGTGGTCATACATGTGTATATGTATATATATATATACACATATATATATATGTATAATATTAGAGGATGTGTTCATTACACTTTGTTCAAAGAGAAAAGGTAACTCTTCTTAGGAGAAATGTGCGAAACAGGTTTCCGCCACAGGTACTTTTTCTCTTTGAACAGAGTAGACTACGGACTCTCATATTCTCATTTCAGAGATATTCTCATTTACATTATATAATTCTGTTCCGTTTTTTTACAATTATACGTATTCGTATTTGCAATTATATGCAAGATCCAATAACTTTCTTTCTTTTTAAAAGTTACAATTACATATGTATATTAATTTTTAAAATATATACGGGACAGAGCACTGTAAGATTCTGCATTCGCATGAATTTGTACGAACCTAAGTCTATACTAAGGTGTTTACTCTCAATTTTGGAAATATTTATATTGCCTCAGAATGTTTTCGGTTTGTTTCAGAGACTACGAGCATTTTCGCTCAAAAAAAATCAGAATTAAAACATTCATCATTACATAATTAAAATAAACTTGTTTTGAAAGGGAGATATCTAGAACAGAAAAATTGTCATTCATATCTTAAAATGCAAAGATATAAAAGACACAAAAGACTAATAATTATTCTTGAATATAGTTTTAAGATTGAAACAGCAAGTCATTTTCATGTCGATATTTCAGTTTACTTTATTAGAATTCAAGATAACAACATCTGACACGAAAACATTAAGTGTCTTACAAACTACCAATTAGTTGCTTACAAAATATAAAGGCAAAATAAAATGCCTTAAATTAATTTTAGTGCAAATTCTAGAATGTTTTTTTTTCTCTAGATAAATACTATCTACAGAAAATAAAAATAGATCACAAAAATCCTTGAATTATTTTTAATGTAAAAAGTTTTATGGTTTATACATGATTGATTCCGAGAAAATAAACAAATTCCAAGTTACTAAGTAAACACCCTTGTGCTTCTAAATATTTTAACGTATTATCTTGCGTGCATTTTCTTTTCCAGTACATGACACTAGGAAAATAGTTTGCTTAGAGACAACTTACGCTATTACATCGTTACGTTTACAAGAGTAATATGCGTAACATACATCTAATCTGTTGACAAAAAATGTGTTTTTATTTCTTACATTGAAACACGTAGTTGACTAATTCTTTTTGAATTCGCTTTCGCATTTTCTCGTAAGTTATAATATTACCTTATCGTCGTGATTTTCTGGCGCGCTGATTGCCGCGACCGCGCATAAATCCACGGCCTCTAGGTGTGGATGTTTTCATCATTTGAGGACTGTGATTCTGCTCGATCTTGGTCTGTGGTTTTTCCTGTTCTTTCTCAACATTATCAGTCACATTATTCGTCTCAGCATTGTTGTCATTATCTGCATCCGTCCATGTTTCTTCGTTTGGTGTCTTCTTTGTTTCTTGGGTGTCACTAGATGCTTCGATGGTAATCACCTCCGGTTCTTCTTTAGTGGGTTTAACGTCTTGTTGAGAGTCATCTTCTTCCGACTCGGCGGCGTCAGCTTCCAACGGATCATATTTCTCTTCTCCGTCAGATTTCTTTTGCATCGCATTATCAGCATTATCATCGGTATTACTTTCTTGCGTGTCATTTAAATCGTCGTCAGCTGTATTTTCGTTGTCATTAAGCTTGCGTCGTTTCCAATTTCCCTCATATTCGTCGTTATCTTCCGTGTCACCTTCTGTGTTTTTCTCGCTCTATGCAAAGGATACAATATAGCAATTTTAATCGAAAGAAAATAAAGCTTTTTTCGGTAAGCTCTATTTATCTTATATCATCATTTACCTTGTTAGTTTGATCGCCATCTTTCTCTGACGTATTCGCTGTTAACGATTTCACTTCCGCTACGAAGTTTCTGTAATGAGTAATGCTGCGTAAATGAGCATTCATGTCTTCAGCCAAGAGCATAAATCTTCGACAACGTTCGCAGTAATATCCTTGAACTTCTTTGACCATAGATTTACCTGAATAAAGGAGGAATATACATGTATATTAAAGTCTACGAGTTGTGTGTGTGTGTGTGTGTGTGTGTATATAAAGAATTTTTCACAATTTCGCCATCCATACCGATCAAAATCTGATTCTGTCTGCAATACTTGTAAGGTGGTATCTTCGATTTCTCATTCATATTTTCTGTAATATCCAATAGATATTCTTGTTCTTTATTATCATCTTCTTTTTCGTTCTTTCCTTCATGCTGAACATCTTTTTCTTCATCTTCAGCGGTACGAACTTCAGCCTCTCCCTTTGCCAGTTTTTCTACACAAATATTTACTTGTTGATCATATTTGAAGCTCACATTTTAAACAACTTTTTTATTATCTTTTGCCTTCGTTACCTTTCTTTTTATTTTTTCGTTGTTCTTCACATTGGACAACATTTTTCATGTGAGAGGGCGTCAAACAGTGTTCGTCGTATTCTATGCGAGACGGGAATTCCTTCAGACAAGGGAAGCATCGAGGATGCAAGAATGTTTTCAACTGTTGATGCTTCTCGCTCTTTCTGTGTGTAGACAAGCTACCGTAAAAGTTTAGGTCACACATCGTACAGTATTCCCTCACATTAAGATCTACAGGAACCTGTAATCAAGGAATCACGCAGTGATCACAATAAAAATATCGTCAAATAAGTCATCAAATTAACGATCACAAGTTTTTGTGGATATGATTTTAACCTTTTTGCCGCGTCGTTTCGAATTGTTCAAACTGAGCTCGCGTTGCTCCTCAGCAACTCGCAATTCATGTCTCATCAAATCGACCTTCAGTTTATACGATTCGTCTAATTTTTCCATCATCAGCTGATGTACACGTCCACGTATATGATTCTCAAAAGACTATAAAGAAAAATATAACAATCAGTCAAAAATCTTCTAACAGCGATACGTGTGTAGTATTAATTTTACTGATACGTACAAATCCGTCCCACATATGCTTGTTGCAAATGTGACAAAACATGTGGCTCATCGGGACTTCGGCGTAACGACTTTCGGCATGGCGAGCTTCAGATTTCTTCCCAGCTGTTTTCGCGTTTTCTTTTTCTGATTTCTGAGATGCGTCTTTCGCATCTTTTGATTGAGAGTCTTCCGCGGAGGCAGATTTCTCCTCCTTTACCTCATCTGTTTCTTCATCTTCTACTTTCACAGATGTTGCTTCTTCTTCTTCTTCTTCTTCTACTTCTTTTGTCTCCTTCTTCTCTTCGTTCCAATCCCGCTTCTTTTCTTCGACATCGCTTGAATCTTCTCTGTTTATCACAAATAATACATCTTTACAAGTAACATAAATGTTTTTTATATCCCATGAAAAAAAGATTTTTAATCAGTCTTAACAACAGTTGATCGAATTACATTGAATATCCTTTTGCTATTAAGTTTTGATTATTTTAAATATGATCATGTAGCTAAGTAATTGATAATTGCTTAGTTCATATACATATTAAAAAAAAAAAAAAAAAATCTCATTGGTATAAAATAAGACAATTCTGTAGATATGCAGAAGCATACAAGATGTAGTAGTTTATACATCTTATTAAGAATCTCAATATAGACACTATATCTTCTCGCCGATTGGAATAAATCATCACAACATGTTTTTTGCTGAATGTACAAGAAGAAGTAACAATAATCAACAGCAAAATTTTTGCACCCTTGCCAATATTCGTTTTTTTTTTCTAGATGTGAAATGTAAAAGTTGAATTGTATCAACGCATTGTATAGAATAAACATATAAAAAGATGTGTATACATTAATAAAAGAATTTTGAGGATAGTTTTACACAATATGTATAGCTACATATAGAATCATATATAGAATATATGTGTTGTGTATATATATTTTAATAAAAATATATGTTTGTATGTATATATATGCAGGCATAGCTTTGAAGAGAATGAGACTTACTGAAATTTGAAGAAACTATACCAATCACTTGTAATTGGGGGCTTACCTTTTTGAAATAGATGGTTCTGCTTTTTCACTATCAGTCTTAACATCCTGCTGTTCCTTTTTGGTAGTAGTCTGATTTTGTTTAGAGGCAGGAATTGGTTTAGAAGATTTATCGGTGCGATGATCGATTTGGTTTCCATTCATACGCTGACTGCCAGACTGGGGTGAACGAGTCTGTACGGTTGGGCCACGTCGCCCAGCAGGGCCATCTCGGGCTCGATTGCCCATCTAGTCAAGTTGTAGAGGTCAAACGACCAAAAAGTATCAATGAGAAGTATCCAATGTAATTGTGATTCTTCTCGAATCGAGACACTGAGTTCTAAAAACCACTTCGGGGAATTTTGTGGGAAAGAACAGTCCTATATTTCGATGAAATGGAAGCAGGATGGAGCCGGTAAAATATACCGAAATTTTTTCTCCCATTTCTACACTCAAATATCAAGGGAAAAGAGGGGGGAAAAATAGTAGAGTGCATCCCGATCTCGAGGCGAAGATACATCGCGTGCGTAAGACACAAATCGCAAACGATCGATAATCGATACGATCGCAGTTTATAAAAGTAGACATAAATTTCTGCCACTAAAAATATTTTGAGTAAAAAACTCAGTGAACATTAATGAACGTGAAGAAGAAGTTAAATCAAGTAAAATATGCATGATACGTATATAAAGTAGTTTTGAATAAAGTGCAATCACCAAGTGTTTCTAGTGTTATATTAAAATCGGGTAGAAGAGAGGTTTTACTGATCGTAAAACGAAGCAACATCGGTCCTGCAAAAATCTCCAGTGAAGTTCCATTCAAGTAATAAAATTGAGAATTACGTTTTGAAATCAACACATGTCTGTCAACACACAGTGCTCTTTTAAAATTGATATATTTTATCGACGACACGTGTAGGAATTGTTTCAGACAAAGATGTGATCCATCAACAAGAATTTTTTATATGTTAGTGATTTCGCAGGCATATCTAAAATCGAATGAGCGATATACCCTACTTGTTCAATCAGCTTAAGAAGACGAATTTAACGGCATAAAGAATAATTAAGAGTTTTGCGCTCACGCAAAGACAGTACGTGAACTAAAAGATTTTTTATTTTTCAACTCCTGTTTACGATACAGACGAAGATCGTAAGCAAGTGTTAAAGAAACTTCCTTAAAGAGTACAGTCTGCTTATAAAAAAAAGCATCATGTATCCTTTTGTATGTGTGTTCTCTTACCTTATATGGACTGGGACGTTGGTTCTTCATGAGATGTCGAACTGGTCGATCGTTAAATCGTCCGGAGGAATAGTTTTGTTGATTGGAGTAATTTGGTCCAGATCCTGAATAATTATTTCCTAGACTCATGAGAGATGGTACCTGTTTCATTAAAAAAAAAAAATAAATAAATAAAAATTAGATTTAATAAAATATATATTAAACTATGATTACAAAGATAATTTCAAAAGTGACATTATTTTTTTTTTTGATATGTTTTAATATTTATAAAATAAATTAATTTTATACAATAAAAACTATCATACTTGAGGTTGCACTTCTTGAGTATGAGTGCGCAGCAGATTTGTAAGAAGATTGCTAGCAAGTGCCAACTGAGTCTGAGATGTTAGGGACAAATTGTTGTTTGGCGTAGGTAATATGCCCCTACCTCCAGGCATCATACCACCTTCCCAAGGATTCATTCCGCTCATACCGCCACTTCCGCTCATTCCTCCTCCCATGTTGTTTCCCATGCCAGCATTGCCCATATTGTTGTTGCCTCTGTTGCCGCCACCTCCCCCACCACCACCACTCCGATTGAAATTCCCTCGATTTCCGAAGGAATCTCTTTTCATACCCCGATTAAAAGACATGGTGCTTCTTGTTCTAATAAAAAAAACATTAAGTAAAACTTAAATTCAAATAGTTGATGTATCACGTTTTCTTTTTGTGTATTTTTCAATTATATACAAAATATTTCAAAAATGTTGTATCAGTAACCTTTTAAATATTTCAATTTCTCACATGCAAGTTTCTGTGTTTTTGATATAATTGCGATAAAATCGACAAAATATATCACAGTTTTAAAGAGTCTAGTCTCTTTTTGAACTTTCAGAAATTTGTGTAAACAGCTTTTTTATAACACGCAAAAAAAACGCATGCATTAATATAAATTAATGAAAAAGGTCAGAGGAAGTAAAATCGAAGAACGGGCATATGTATACGACTAGATATTATACGGAGTACACGTAAGCTAATCATGTGAGAAAATAATTATAAAAAAAATTTTATCTAGTACAAGTCTGGTAAAAGTCGATGTTATATATATATACGATATTAATTAATTTTATGCTCTTTAATATGATGTTTGTTAGAAACGTTTCAAAACTTCTCGATCGTAAACTGGATTTCTTAACATGTACGATACGGATTTTAATATAACGCGTGTAATATATATTGTGTATGCGCGTGTTTGTATAAAAAAAAGAACTGTACCACTGAATTACTGATTTGCCGAAAAGCTATTTATGCGTTACGAAAATTGTCGAATTTTTTACCTCTTGGCGATGATAAATTCGTGAAAAATCCGATGGAAAACAAGATTGACGATCCGATACTCCGAAAAGCTCAATGAACGCAACAACTGCAAATGGCGGATGGTGGCGAAGGCGGATGGTTTGGTTTGGTGCATATGTGGCTCAAAGGACCGACTCAAGATAGTCCATACGCCATTCTAAGCTTGAATAGTGATTT